AAACTTTTAAGGGCATTATTTTTTAGCATTTCCCTGACATAATGAAACAGTATTTGATGTGAAAAGCCGGACCAAATTATTGGCTGTGAAATAAAATTTAGTTGTAAATCTAATATATTAGTTGATTTAAACTGTAAATAAAACAGGATAATTCCTCACTAAAATATTACATGATTTACATTCATACTCACAATCAGGAAACATACAATTCATACATTTTCTTTCTACTGTTCTATAACGCATTTTTTTTTTTAAATATTTCCCAAATGATAAGAAAGTCCTCACATCACTAAAACTTATCCATAAATGCAAGTCGAAACAGGAAGTCATGCATCAATTATAAACATTGCACTGACAACGAAACTAATTCTCAGTGAATAGATCATTTGAGCCTTGAGCACTTTACAATATTCTAAGTTTGTAAGAGAATGATAATCCCTTACTTCATGATAAGTACTCGCTAACGCTCGTACTTATTCATGAAGAAAGGGATTATCATTCTCTTACATATACTAAGTGTTAATTGACATTATTCAATCTATGTGTCGGTTAGTGTATGGAAAGGTATATACTATGAAATTTAGAGCGAGGGGCTTGCCCCGAGCTCTTAATTTCATAGTATATACCTTTCCATACACTATCCAATTTAGCACATATTTACAACTTGAGTAATCCTGTAATTAGTCTATTGATATGTTTTGGCTGACTAGGTGTAGCTCATTTACGTAGTTTTGTAAATCTACTCACTAGTATCATTGTAAAATGTGTGATTTCACAAGGCCTTGAACTCCAGAATGAAAAGATGGTAGCTGCTGGTGTAAGTATGTCTATTGATATAAAGCGGCGTTTTACGACACATGTACTTCTTTACATGGTAAGATGACAAAATAAATTGACCAAAAGCAGGCAGTAATTAAATTGCAGTGGAAGCTTTACATTCGTAAAAACATTTTTTTATTTCACATAAAAACTAAAACTATAATAAATTTTACACATATAGATAGTGGCGGATCCAAAAAGGGGGAGGGGGTTGGTGGTGGAAAACGCCTTTTTCGTGATGATCAATGGGTTGGAACCCCTTTTAAAAATAGCTGTAATTGCCCCATAGGTAGTCTTGTGGATAGTTTACATGCATGAAATATTTGTCACTGGACATTAAGCAACCAATAATCAATCAATTCATGACGAAATAGATCAAATTGCTTTAATTTCCCTTCACAAGGTTTCATGGTTCACTCTTTTTTGTGTACAAAGTAATTGCATGGAAAATAAATGATTACATTTTTTAGGTGGCGTTGTACTCTAATAGGTATAAAGAACCATATTTGCTACTTTTTATTTAAAAGAAAGAAACTTGTAATCGTCAAAAACATTTTAAGATTCAAAGATTAATAAGTAGGATGTTTAAAAATCAATTTGAAAGCTAATTACAAACTATTTAGTTTAATTTAAAACACAGCATTTATTTCAAATAGCCAGTAGCAATTTTTGTTTTAATATCTAAGACTTGATTACGATACAATGAAATCTTAGACTTGTGGTCATTCATGCGTAGTTACTTAGTACACGGAAAAAGTGTGTACTATGAAAATTAGAAGGCAAATCCAAGCAATTTCATTGGACGAGAAGTTGTAAGTATGTGCTAAATACAATTGGTATGTTGACAAGTAAATTAAATTGATGACCATTGTTGTCAAAAAGTATTCTCACAACACAATCTTAATCTTAATCCATAAACATTTCCTAGTAACGCTAACACGATTAATAAATGTCTCTTATAAAATTATTTGAAAAATAGTTCAAAATCTTGTTTCCCGAACAAAATGCACTTTTAGCTTAATAAAAATATTGAAACTTTAACTACTCATAAGAAATAATGACTTTTGATACCAAACACGACATAAAAAGAAGAAAATGCTCTAATCCACAATTTCACGCATTTTCACAACATGACATTATATTAAAACTTGAGATCTTAATTTCAGATCCATAAGTCATTGTATATGAAATTAATAAGTTGAAAAGTCTCACACAATTTTCCATAACTATACAGTTCGAATATAGTAATTTTTATTTTAAGGCAAAATGTGCCTTGGGTGCTTTATCAGCAAGATTTTCAGCTGCTATAGCTGAATATATGAATTTTAAAATTTACTTAACATTTAATCTAAAAATATATAAAATAATGAAATGTGAAGCGAAATGATGTACAATATAAATATAAGGAGATGTGGCATGATTGACAGTGAGACAACTATTCTTAAAGACCAAAGGACAAAGATAAAGAACCATTACAGGTTACAGTATGACCTTGTGAAACAATTCAAAAAGAAAACCAACGACCAGATTTTTACTGCAACACGAACCCCTTCACCAGGGGTCATCTCATGTGTTCCGAAAGGGTAGACAGATCCTGTCCCAAATGTGGCACCCGTCATATTTATTAACAACAATAAACGGCAAACAATCATGGCATACAGCAACCAAAGACAACCATTGGATTACAGGCCCCTGACTCCTGAGTTGGAACAAGCCAATAAAGAGTGCCGCGATGTGAAACATTCCTGTGACTTCCATTTCCCTTGGACAGCTTTGTGACAACATAACATAATAATAAATTGTAAACATCAGTTTGAAAGGGCTTTGATGATCAGATACAAACTTTTCACTCTATCTTTTTTTAGGACAAAAGAGTTAAGCACGTCTGAAAATACAAAATACTGATATACGATTTTAGATATATGTACATTTATTTAATGCTTTTATCAGATAAATTGCTTTTCTTTGTGTACACTTTTATACATTTATAATTTATATTTTCTGAAAGTTTCGTCCTGAATATGCATAAAATATGTATTAATAAATATCACTTTCTACACTAAAACAGTTCAGTAAAATAAATCTAATGGAATGTAATATATTTCATTTCAATTTTGCACAATAATCATTATAATAAAACATAATCAAAGTACTGAAGTACTAAACATCGGATGACCGCAAGTTCTGGTGCGTTTCAGAAAAAAAAAATCACATCTCTATACCTGAAAGTTACACAGATATATTTTTTTCTGAGACAAGTTCCTGTGTGGATGATGAATAAATGACAGGGAATTCAATATCATTCTATTCTACTATTCTAATGATAGTGCAGTGCAAGTGCATGGTGGACACTCTTCTGTAATAATTCGTTTTTCTAATAGATTGGATTTGAGTAGTAATCATATTTTCCCGCGTTTGTTGCAAAACGTTCTAGAGATATTCTTCCGCATGCGTTAACACAAATTTTAGGTATTCTTGATTTGTTATTGATATATATATTTCTCACGACAAAACATTTTCATGTCATTTATCTATGTTCTTAAAAATTATGTTCATGAATATTAATTGATGAAATTAATATATAACAAGCGATAAGGAATGTTATTTTGCACTCGATAATATCCGCGTAATTATAGGTGTCAGACCACCAATTACTCCCTCAAATTTAGAACGTATGTAAAAATAGTCCTACTCTGACACAAAATAGTGCTTTTGATGTCCTTGTTCACTTGAACTAACCAACAAATTTGCAGAAATGAAACTTTTGATGAAAGAGAAATATATTTAGATCATTTTGAGCCAAAATTTACTTGTCTATGAGTTTGCATTAAAAATTCAGAATTAATGCGCTCCATAGTATACTAATTTAAGATTTCCAGAAAACCAGGAGTTATTTTGGTAGTAACTGTGTTTCCAAGATCAGATTTTTCTTATAAGATTTTAAACATGGGTTGAAAATTGGCATGTAGAAAGGTGATACATGTACAATTCAGGATATACCTGGTTTCTTTGAAGTTAAACTTAAGGTAAAATATTTAGAAAGCTGTGAAAAATGCAAAATTTGGTTGAACAGATAGGGATTTTTAATTGGTGGTCTGACACCTATACGAAATACGTTCGGTTATCAGTCAGAAACGCAAGTCACGAGGTAGAAATGTCTGCGGCAACATAACACCGGAATGCCCTCACGGTCATCCGCTGTAAAAAGTGATATAGTTTTACACCTGATATTCTTGTTCAGTGTTGGTTATTTTACATCACAATCGGGGTCCGTTCAGATGATACACAATAACAAAACCGTTCACAAATGTTTATTTGGACAACAGCCTAGGTGCTTTGTGCAAAACTTTTCGTGTCACGTGGTACGATTTTCAGCCTGCTTCCGTTTGGCAATTTAAAATATGGCAAAAGATCAATTTGTTCATTTATCATATCAAATGTACTCTGGTTGAAGACCATAAGATTGTATCTTGTCCTCTAAAGGTCTTTTGGATATGTTTGTCGTTGGCTTGCTCTCTCCTTGACTTGTATCCCACTTATTCCATTACTCATAGTAAAAAGCATGTGAAATGCGCAGATCCAGTAAAATTTCAGTATCTTTAATTAAGAAATTTTCGTTTGAAAAATTTGTAGTCATTGGATGATTGATTAATTGTTGGTTGATTAACGTCCAGTGGCAAATAGTTCATGCATGTTCAGAACGAAAGGAGTCATTGGATACAAAAAATAAACAAATTCGTATCAAATAATTTAATATATATCGTCAGCTGCTGCTAAAAGCTTAAAATTAGACATTACACTGCGTAACCGCCTATCAAATTTCGTCGATAACTCTATACGAAATTTTGTCATAATCAATACTTACTACTACGGGGGTGTTTAATGACCTTGACATTATTAACATTTCATTCGCTAGCATTAATGCCGTCCTTTAATAACTTAAAGTAAAAAAAAAATAATCACCCATTTAACAAAAAAAAAATATTTAATGCGATTTCGATTATCCCTTTTGTAAACTTAATTAAAAAAAACTGCAGTCGCATTAAATGTTATAGTTGGCCTTTTATTATTGAAAAGGTTTCTAAAGGTTGACATAATTACTTGTATATACAATGGGGTTTCAACGAAATCAATCAAGCGCAAAATACACATATAACAACTATTCTTATTGACCACTTCAATTTTACGGACAAGTGAACACACAATTTTACGGGCTTATTTGGTATTCCATTGAAATCGATTTTAAATTCCATGAATTATTGAGTAATTCATAATAAGTAAAATGTTTGAAACTAGCCCCGTGCATATACAGAAGATTATGAAAGACTGGAACTTTGAATTTTAACCATACGCACAAGGTAATTACATACACTAAAATAGTTTATTTTGCATGATTACGGAATGGTTGGTCATCCCTGAAAAAGAGGTGTCAACCCTTGAGAAACACGGGTATTTTTACAGAGTTTTATTTTGAAATGAAATAGGGCCAATTCCCTTGAACTGTTGAATTTATTTCACACCAGCTATGGCTATTTATCCTATAGCCATAATCTTTACAAAAAATTAACAGTGTCACGGTTATAACAATATTCTGGCGTGTTTCAGAATATTTGACTGAACTGTAAATGCCTCGAGTCGGCTAAATACTGCATTTCTCATATAATTTTGCTAATTTCGACGGCTGTTTTAAAAAAAATGATTTAGTAAGGTACTTAACAAAACCAATATTCTATCCGATGTATTCAGAAGCTGTGTGTAACAAAAAAACAATGTCCCCATGAAATATTGTCCGCCGGACAAAATGTTCATAGAAAATATTTACTGCAGACAATTTTTTATAATGAAAAACTGTCCAGGGCAATACTTTATTATGAAATAGTGTCATTCTCCATGCAGTTATTTCAAGGGACAATATTTTACTGACGTACTATCCCTGACAAAATTTTACTGTGAGGTACAGTCCCTGACAATATTGCATTGTGAAGTACTGTCCCTGGCAATATTTCACTGTGAAGTACTGTCCCTGACAATATTACACTGTGAAGTACTGTCCCTGGCAATATTACACTGTGAAGTACTGTCCCTGACAATATTGTACTGTGAAATACTCTCCCTCGCAATATATCACTGTCAAATACTATCTGCAATATTTCTTAATCGAAGTATGTCTTCCGTGAGGATTCATACGCCATGAAATTGTATTTCTGGAATCTTAGAAATAATGTTCTTGAAAAAGCATGTGTATAACCGTGAAATGCTGCATAAAAAATCTCATCTACTCAAGCATGAAGAATGCATATTCCCCATTTTCATTCTCAATTTTACATATTTATATTTATAACTGAAAATATTTTGTAAGGCAAGTATTTAATATATAAAACAAACATATATTTTATCATAAGCTTGTTTCAGATTTGCATTTATTATATTATATTCTAGTATACAATTATTATTATCAACTAAAAAAACACTAATTTTACCATTGTCCAAAATATTAATTTTTACTATATCCACGGGGGATTTTAAGCGCAACAGGACCTAATGCTCCTCTTATATTGTCATAGTATTTTTAATCTACTACTATATTGTTTGAATGACATGAGTATGTATGTGCTTAAATACCTTTTAACTCATTTGAATGCCTGTTTGAGGTGTTCAGCTTATATAAAGGATTTCAATATTCAAGTCAACATCTCTCATGGGAGAAATCCCCCATAAATCGTCTAAGTTGGCAGGTTTGTTTCTCTGGTCATTTTTCATAGATGGGGACAAAATATAATGATACATACTAGTAACCATGAAATATTGTCTTTGGGGATAATATTTCATGGGACAAAATTTGCTTTACATGTGTATTGTTTTTTAGACCCTTTACAAAACATGTAAAATTGCAATGTTGTTTCAAAACTGCCTTCAACAATAGCGTTTAGCACAGATTATAAGTATATTACATAAAATTCAATATTCAAATTCCGATAATCAATAACTGATTGTTAATGAGATTAATCCCTAGGATTTCTGGAAAAGTCACAAACCATAACAATAAGTTTTTGGAAGTCAACATCAAACTATTACCCGCAGGCTAGACACATGGTTCTGCGGAGCACTTTACGATTTTTTCCATGTACCATTCCATCGTCTCAATGCAAAAGATTTGAAAAGTTCATAGATCCCATGCCAGATTACCAATAATAGAGCTCAGGCATCGTGATCACCTCTTGTCTTCTGAAACATTTTAGGAGGCTGTTTTACAAAAAAATATCATTAGAAAGACACTCTTAACAAAACCAAAATTCTGCCTGATGTATACAGAAGCCGTGTGTAACATAAATATAGATTCTACCACTGCATCGAGTGTGATACGATATTTATCCACTCGAGACAGTTAAATTTTCAAATTTAAAACACGAGGCTCGCCGAGCGTTTTAAATATTTAAAATTTAACTGTCAAGAGTGGATAAATATTGTATTACACGAGATTTGGTGGTGGAATCAGTTTCTCTAATGATTTTTATACAATATGCAGGCAAACTTATTCCTTCTTTTCAAATGATCTGAAAAAAGATGTGTTCTTTCTATGTGACGTCATCAGGCATGGTCGCCTTTTTTTTCATGACGTCACAATAGGAAATTCAGAGGAAAGCAAGAAAATTTTACGTCAAAATCGAATTTGGACCAATGAATAGCTGAGATCAAACGAACCAAACGTTGATTAAATAAAAATAATCAAGTTAGGAAAACGATAAATCGGGTAAGAATTAGAGAAAATAATATCCCCATGAAATATAATTGTTCACCGGACAAAAATTTCATAGAAAATATTTTCTGCAGACACTTCATTTTATAATGAAATATTGTCCTTCTTAATGAACTTTTGTCACGTTCTTCGGGACATTATTTCACTGTGAAATACTGTATAGGATTGTCTTTTGATTTTGATAAAATCATATTACATTAAAGACGAATTTTTTAGTGTGGCATAGGGTAATTAATTTTCATTGCCATAATTTCAGTATCAAATTTTAATAAAAATGTTTAAATTTGTAAAAGGTGCATCGTTTTAACAGTTTTCATGATAATTTATCTTTAATGGTTTATATATGATTGGTTGGATAGAGGTTGTGTAACTAGTTGAATTTGTTTTATTGAATTTTGATTTTATAATTTAATTTCCAGAAAAAGGCAACGAATTAATGTATCCATTTGAAAATTTCTTAAACATAATTATATTTGGACGATTTACATATTTTTTATCAATACATTCGTTTCTTTTTACTGACATCTCTGTGCACATCATAATATAATGATACTCATCTCCAAGATCTTTAGCGTTACATAATTTACAATTTCTTCTATCTCTCTGAATATTTGTCCATCTCCCTATCTCAATGGGTAATTTATGGTTGATGGTTCTAAATTTGCATAAAGTATAAATATCACGAAATTCTAAAATATCAAAATAGTTCTCAAACCCAAAAGTATCCTTAAAAATTCGATAATTTAATGTCTTCGAACATGCTTGCACATTTGAAAGCCATGTTTGTTGAAACTGATCTTGGAGTGATGTTATGATTGTATTCTTTAACCAAATGTCACTAATACATGTTTGAGATAACCACACAAAAGATAATCCCGTTTCATTAAAAATGGATTCAACATGGTTTAACCAACTAAACTTTACATCGTTTTCATTTGACAGCTTAAACAGTAGTTTATAAATGGTCGCTGATAATTTAGTCGGTTTACCACATACTAATTTCACCCAAAATGATACCATACGGACTTTAATATCTAAATTGATGGGATATCGTCCAAGTTCACCATATATTACACAATTTGGGGTAGAAGACTTTAGGTGCAGAAGAAGCTTACAGAATTTTAATTGAACTCTCTCCAGAATGTCGTTATTCCCAAACCCCCAAATTTCACAACCGTACAATAAGACCGGTTTCACTAATTTGTCAAATAAATCTAATTGACAACTAATAGATAACCCATGTTTTCTCCCCTTTTTGATCACCTCATACATTGCCTTTGTAGCTTTTTCTGCTAAGTGTTTTCTACAGTGTTTAAATGTGCCATTTCGTGAAAAATAGATCCCAAGATAGTTGAATTCTTGAACGATATCTATAACAGAGTTATCATATGTAAAACTGAGATTTTTGGGTTGCCTTCCATTACTAAAAATTACAATTTTTGTCTTTTCTACATTAACTTTCATTTTCCAGACATCACAATATGAGTGGAATTTATCTAGCAATAATTGAAGATTTTTGGCCGATTCCGCCATTAGCACAGTATCATCTGCATAGAGGATTGCAAACAGTTTAACATAAATATCTAATTTTTCTTCGAGTGCATCTTCAATAGTGTTCAAACCAATCAAGTTCTCGTTGATAAAAAAGTTTTCCAAATCATTTAAGAAAAGTGAGAACAGAAAAGGAGATAAGTTTTCCCCTTGACGTAGGCCAATATTGCATGAAAAATAATCTGATATATTGCCATTATAAGATAAACATGACTTAATATTTTCATACATCTTATGAATTATGTTATACATATGACCATTTATGTTATTCAATAACATCTTATACCATAAAGCGTCTCTTCTGACTATGTCAAACGCTTTTTCAAAATCCACAAATGCACAAAACATTTTTTTCTTTTTTAATTTCAAAATTTCAAAGAAAGAGTGCAGTATAAATATACAATCGACTGTTGAATATCCACTTCTAAATCCAAACTGATTTTCATTTATTAATAAAAATTCATCGGAAAAATTTGATAATCTATGACATAAAATCGAAGTGAATAATTTCCCAACATAACTGACAATTGTGATAGGTCTATAGTTTTTTGGATCAAATTTGTTTCCCTTATTCTTATAAAATGGTTTGATCGTGCCAATTACCCAAGATTCTGGTACAATCCCAGTTCTATAAACTAAGTTAAACAATTCAACATATACATCAATTAAAAAATCACTAGAAGATTTAATATATTCATTTATAATCATATCGTCGCCACAGGCTTTGTTACTTTTTAGTTTCTTAATACAATTCATAATCTCGTCCTTTGTAATTGGACCATTAAGTGTACCATTTAAATCATTTAAAGCATCTTGGTCTACATTTGGTAACTCAATAGGATCGGGGGTGCCTGAATTTAGATCTCTGAAAAAATTTAGTAAATTATCAAAATTTATGTCCGGTTGTTTCGTGTGTTCCCGCTTATTTAAAATATTCCAATACTCTTTTGAATTTTGAGATCTGAGGTTTTTGTCGAGCCTGCGACTTTTGTCGCAGAAAGCTCGACATAGGGATAGTGATCCGGCGGCGGCGGCGTTAGCTAACTTCTT